TCCCACGGCGGGGCCAGGGAGGCGCACCTGGTCACACTGCGGAGCATCAGCCGCGCAGTATGGCGGAAGGACGCGCGCCTCGGGGCCCGCCTGCTGGACACCGAGCTCGGCCGCGCGCACGTGGACATGACCGCGGGCACCCCGAAACTCAAAGACCCGACCGGCCCGCAGAGCCAACAGGGCGCCGGCGCCCTTTTGCGGTCGGTTCACAGACCAAAAAGGGCACCGATCAGCACGACGTCAACAGCACGACCGTCAGCACGGTGATTGACGCGCGCGGCATGGCGGACGCTCTGATCAACCACTGGATGCCGATCTTCGCGGCCAAGAGCGTGGACGTTGATGATATCCGCAAGTACTTGGCGAAGTGGCAGCACCAATGGGATTTCTCGAAGGCTCGGACCCCGACGTTGGCTGTGCTCAAGCGGATCATGCGCGCAGCGCGGCCGTCGGCCCCCGGGCCAGACATGCTGCCCTATGCGGCGTGGGCACAGTCAGGCGGAGCCTGTGAGCTGCTCTTTGAATTGCTGCAGATGATCACGGACGGGGAGGCGGCGCCCATCGATTTCAACTACTCCGAATTCGCCTTCGCCCCGAAAGGCGACGAGGCCGCAGACGCCGCGGCCTGCTACAGAGCCGCCGGCAACCTCCGCCCCCTCAGCTTGAAGAACGCCGACGAGAAGCTCCTTGCCGCGACCCTTGCCTGGCGCCTCCAGCCCGCGGTGGCGGCCGAGTGCCACGCGGCGCAGCAGGGCTTCATTCCGGGCCGGTCTTTCCTCAACCACCTGCCGAGGATGGATGCCAAGGCCAGGATGGCTGGCATGTCCAGCTCTGGCGCGGAACATGCACCGCTGTTCACGAGCTTCGATTTTGGCGCCGCATTCCCGAGCATGGCACGCACCTGGTTCATGTGTTGCTTCGAGGCGGTCGGCATGCCGCAGCACCTCCGCAACGTGGTGAACGGCCTCTACACGCTGGCGCGAGCGTTTGGGCGGTTCGGCCCTGTGGAGCAGCATTTATTCGACATTGCCAGCGGTGTCATGCAGGGGTGCCCCTTCAGCGGCGTCGCCTGGTCCATCGCCATGGACCCGTTCGTGCGCCACCTTGACACCGCCCTGCGCGAGGAACCGCCGCGCAAGCTATTCAGCAGCGACTACCTCGACCCATCCAGCTCCAGGGACCTCGGCGTCTGCGCTGACGACGTGGGTTCGATCACGACCAGCTTGCACCAGTGGGCAGCCTTGGCCCCGCCCTTTGAGGCGGCCAGGACTCTGGCCACGCTGTCCCTACAGCCTGCCAAGTGCGTGGCCGTGCCGCTGTGGGGCGTGTTCACTGCGGCTGAGCGCGATGCCATTCGCTCGCGCCCGGTGGCCGTGGCGCCGGCCTGGAAGCGCATCAAGGTGGAGAGCATGGCCAAGTACCTGGGTGTGATGATGGGGCCAGGGGCCACCGCCCTCGACCAGTGGCACAAACCGTACACGAAGTGGACGGACCGCGGCGTTGCCCTCGGCCGTGCTGGCGCACCGATGCAGGTCACGATCACGCTCTACAACCGCACTGCGCTGCCCACTATGTCCTACATCGCCCAGTTCTTCGAGGTCTGGCGGCCGCATGCAGCGCGGGGGCACTGGCTGCTGCACCGACTGATGCGCCTTCCACCAAACACTTTCGCGTTGAACACGTTCTTTGGCATGAAGAAGTGGTTCAACGGCTCAACTCCGAACTCGCTGCAATGCGTCCTGCACGCGACGGCGTTCCGAGCTGCCTCAAAGTCGCTCTCAGGGTGGCGGGTGTATTGGGACAGGCTCAAGGACGCCGCGGAGCTCTATCTACCCAGGAGCGCCGTGTCCAACCACAAGTGGCCCCCCGATTTCTGGGCCAACGGGAAGGCGATCGCGCAGTGGCTCGCAGAAGTGGTGGGGCACAGGGTCGGCGACCGCAAGTGGCGAGAGCATTCGCGCCGTGCTGAACTCGCCGCCCGCGCGGCTGCTCCGGTGACCTTTTGCAGTCGGGCCACAGGGCAACAAGGTCACCGGGCGCCCGGTGCCCCCCAGACGACCGGCGCCCCCAAGGCGCGCCGCGGCTTCCAGGCCGAGCACCGCAACTCCCTGCACGATAGCCTCTTCCACGACGACATCGCGCACATCATCGGCAAGAGGCTGCCGCGCTTCTTCCCTGCCGGATGGTGCGGCCCGCCTCCTGATCTGGAGCAGCGCTGGGCCCGCCTGCGGCAAAGGCTGGACCGCCAGAATCCCGCGGCTGCCTGGCCTGTGCTGAAGACGCTGACGGGCGGCTGGACCACTCGCGAGCGAATGCACCTATTCGGACCGCGCCCTTGCATCTTCGGCTGCCAGGCCACGGACTCTCAGTGCCACTACCTCCACGGCTGCGCACGCATGGAGGGTGCGCTTCGTGCGAGTTCCGAGCACTGGAGAGATGACGGCCTTCTTCCCCGGCTGGGCCTGCCCATGCCGGAGGTGAGAGCCACCGATCGCCAGATCGACCTGGCCATCTTCGACATCAATGTCGCATTCCACATCTACAACGAAGCGAAGGAGATCGACTCCGTGGGCGCCTCGCAGTTCGAACGCATCGTCCGAGCGGGCCGGGCCGCCGCCTCCCGCGCCTGCAGCATCGCGCCGCCAGCCGCGCCTTAGCGACACGTGGCGCGCCAGCAGTGCCTTAGCTCATCTTCCTCCTCCTCCTCCTCCTCCTCCTCGTCCTCCTCTCTTCCTCCTCCTCCTCCTCTCTTCCTCCTCCTCCTCCTCCTCCTCCGCCTCCATTCTTTTTTCTAATAAATAGTTTCTCCCTGTCGCACCCCGAGGCCGGTCGAAAGGGCGGCCAGGCGTTTCGCCTGAGACTTCATCACCACTTATGACCCTGAAGCTTCAAAAATCCCCCCCCCACAAAAAAAAAAAAATAAGTTGCTTCACACATGGAAGTCGGGTGGTTTTCAAAATGTGGCTCTCTTTTTAGCGCCGCGCAAAATCGTCATAAAATGTTGAAGAGCTTCACGGGTTGAGGGCGGGCGGTTTTCAAAATATGGTTCTCGCCTTAGCGCCGCGCGCATTCGCTGTAAAAAATTGCTAGAGCTTCACGGATTGAGGGCGGTTCGCTTTCAAAATGTGGATCTCGCCTTCGAGCCGCGCACATCGCTTTAAACGTTTGCAAGAGCTTCACTGATTGACTGCGGCTCGTTTTCAAAATGTGGTTCTCGCCTTAGCGCCGGTGCATTGGCGCATTCGTTTACATAGTTCGCACGGGCTCACGGAATCCCATTGTCAACGTACCAGAAATGGTGTTTTGGAAGGCTCAGGACTGCGAGGGCGCAACAGTTACGATGATTCGCGGTGTTACAGTCTCAGGAATGGTGGTTTGGCACGATTCCGGACCGTCAAGACGCAACAGTCGGGTTGATCCGTGGCGTTGAAGTCCCGAGAATGGTGTTTTGGCATGCTTCAGCCAGGGTCTTCAAACGGTTGTCTGCCAACGAGGCAATTCCCTCAGTGGAAATGAACCCTTGTTGGGGACTGCTAAGGGGGAGCTTGGAGGGAGGGTTTATTCCAACATCGTTGATGAGTCTTGAGCTTACACTGGCCCTCCTCCTCCTCCTCCTCCTCCTCCTCCTCGTCTCCATCATCGTCGTCGCCGGTGTCCTCGTCGTCGCAACGGACGTCGCTGTCGGCGTGAGAGCTCTCATCGCCGCATCGCCGCCCTCCCACGCGCGCCGCGGCGCGGTTGCAGCGCTCCCCAGCAGCGCCCGCGTGCGCGCGGGCGCACGCGTCACCGGAAGACCTCCGAGGAGGCCTCTGCTCGGTCGCGCGGAGTCGAGCTTGGAGTTCCGCTCTGCCCGTTGGCCAGCGCGCTCGGCACCAAAAGACCCCCGAGGAGGCGCCCTGAGGGCCTCCGAGGCCCTACGTCAAGGGAGGAAAAACCATCCCTAACCCCGTGATTGACGTTTGCTGGAAGACAAAGGCCTGCCCTGTTCGATTCCCTCTCCGGGTGAGTTTGCTGAAGGGCTTCGCTTGTCGGGGCGCTCGCGCGGCAGGGGCGTTCGTCAACGAGTGTGCCCAGGAGGCTTCGGAGCCCGACGGACTCCTGATCCGGTAACGGTGGCAGTGATAACCTTGTTCATGGCCAGGCCCCGATGGAAGTTCCACCAGCTTCCAGACCCTGGATCCCTTACCCTGTGGGGAAACACACACACACACAGTGGGGAAAAACACACACACAACAAAAAACACTGTGGGAAAACACACACACAAAAACACACACTGTGGAACAAAAAAACACACACAAAAAAAAAACAAAAAACAAAACTGTGGGAAAACACACACACTGTGGGGAAAAAAATAACAAATCAAAAAAAACAAACAAAAAAAAAAAAAAAAAAAAAAAAAAAAAAAAAAAAAAAAAAAAAAAAAAAAAAAAAAAAAAAAAAAAAAAAAAAAAAAAAAACACACATGTGTGTGTGTGTGTGTGTGTGTGTGTGTGTGTGTGTGTGTGTGTGTTGTGTGTGTGTGTGTGTGTGTGTGTGTGTGTGTGTGTGTGTGTGTGTGTGGTGTGTGTGTGTGTGTGTGTGTGTGTGTGTGTGTGTTGTGTCGTGTGTGTGTGTGTGTGTGTGTGTGTGTGTGTGTGTGTGTGTGTGTGTGTGTGTGTGTGTGTGTTGTGTGTGTGTGTGTGTGTGTGTGTTGTGTGTGTGTGTGTGTGTGTGTGTGTGTGTGTGTGTGTGTGTGTGTGTGTGTGTGTGTGTGTGTGGTGTGTGTGTGTGTGTGTGTGTGTGTGTGTGTGTGTGTGTGTGTGTGTGTGTGTGTGTGTGTGTGTGTGTGTGTGTGTGTGTGTGTGTGTGTGTGTTGTGTGTGTGTGTGTGTGTGTGTGTGTGTGTGTGTGTGTGTGTGTGTGTGTGTGTGTGTGTGTGTGTGTGTGTGTGTGTGTGTGTGTGTGTGTGTGTGTGTGTGTGTGTGTGTGTGTGTGTGTGTGTGTGTGTGTGTGTGTGTGTGTGTGTGTGTGTGTGTGTGTGTGTGTGTGGTGTGTGTGTGTGTTTGTGTTTTTGTGTGCTTTGGGGGGTTCCTGGTCCGATGCCCCCACCGTATTGTGAGGGTGGCTTTTCAGCCCTCTACTCTGAGGCGCTGCTGGCGCGCGCGCGCGCCTCGCCCCCCGCGCCGGGGCCACCCTCGGCGGGCCCGGGAAACGGCAGGGCAGTTTTTCTCACCGTTTCGACACAGTGCCTCTTGAAAGTGGAGACGACAAAAAAACGGCGACTGGAAACGGCAAAAAAAAAGGCTCCGGGATTGGAACCAGAGCGGGAACCGAAAAGAAAAAACGGCGACGGAACTGGCAAAAGCACGGCGTCAGAAAACTGGCAACACGGAACCCGTAACAACAGAAAAACCTTGTCGTTTCCAGGGCCCTCGGCGGCCCGGTCACCCCGCGCCCCCAACAATGGGTGCCGGCGGCTCGGCTCCAGACCGCCGCGAGGCACACCAGAGGGTGGGCCTCTCGGCTGGCCGCCGCTTGCCGAGCGCCTCTCGGCGCCCCCACCTCCCTTGGTGGACGGGCGTTCCGGAAGGGACTCCGCCAGAACGTGCCGAGAAGAGGTTTGTGAAATGTCTACAGATCTCTGTCTCTCTCTCTCGCTCTGTCTCTTTCTCTCGGGTGCTCATGGACTCCTTGTTGGACGCAGCCCTCCAGCTTTCGCGGCGAAGGCCGTCAGAAGACCGTCTGCAGACTGCCGAAGACCGCCGAAGGCGGCCCCAGGCCGATTGGTAACAGGGGGTCCATGTTCGAAGAGGTAGTCTTTCTCTCTCTCTCTCTCTCGCCCCTCGGAGGCTTACAGAACCCCCACCCTGCCTAGTCGATTCGCAGATTGTCCCTTCTTCGGTTCTCAGAGGGTGTTGTGGCTGCAGTGTTTGCGGGCCTGCGCCCACTGGGTCTGTTCCCAGGTCGTCTTCGCTGAAGAGTGTTTTTCTAGAGGGGGTTATCTCCGCTCCCGATCCCTTCTTCTCCCCCCACCTCCCTCTTCATCTCTCTCCCCTCTCTTCCTCCTCCCTCCCTCCCTCCACCTCCACCCCCTTGTCAGAGAGCCCTCGCTTCCCCCTACCTCCTCCCCTAACCCTCCCTCCCCCATTGCCCCTCCATCCCTCCCGACTTCCGATTCGTCCTTCGAGGCTCGAGATTCGAGGATCGAGTTTTGGCGTTCCAGGTGCGTGTGGAGGCCTCCATGGACCTCCACCAAGGCCTCCGCGAGTTTCCACAGGCCTCTGGAGATCTCGAGGGGGAGCCAGACCTCTGGACGGCGTCCTGACTGCAGGGTTCTTGCTGGGCGTTCTCGCTCCTTTCGAAGCCTCCTGCTTCACCAGAGGGTTGCAATCGAGTCTGGACGGGCGACTCCAAGAGCCGCTCGCCCCATGAGCGGGGACGGAACGTGAAAGTAGTGAAACAAGAATGTCCGCTCTTGCAAATCAGAGAACATCAAATCGTAGATAGATTGCGCGGCAATGCGTTCTTCGCGACGTGCTGCCGTCGGCGCTCTTATTGAAGCATCCTTCGAAACAAGTGGAAAGACAGGACCGGAAGGGGGAGGAGGAGGCGGGAGGCGAGAGATAGAAAGCCTAACGCCACACGAACGACTCACGCATTGAACAAATTCATTCAACATAACCTCAATACGTTTTTAACACAAATTCCCCAAAAAAAGCTCTGGCTTGGCAATTGGGTCCAAGGATCGGCGTTCGAGCTGTTTTCCCATTATTGTTGGCTACCCTACACGATGGATACATTCCGTGTCTGCTCGTACAAGGCTTGTAGTACAAGTCCGTAGGCTTTTGAAGTACAAGTCCGTACTGTTACCGTCATAGTCGTGGGCGTGGCCAGCGTAGTAGTAGCAATAGTAGTAGTGGTAGTAGTTGTACTAGTAGTAGTAGTAGTAGTAGTAGTAGTAGTTAGTAGTAGTAGTAGTAGTAGTAGTAGTAGTAGTAGTAGTAGTAGTAGTAGGCGTAGCGTAGGCGTAGGCGTAGTCGTAATAGTAATAGTATAGTAATAGTAATAGTAGTAGTAGTAGTAGTAGTAGTAGTAGTAGTAGTAGTAGTAGTAGTAGTAGTAGTAGTAGTAGTAGTAGTAGTAGTAGTCGTAGTAGTCGTAGTAGTCGTAGTAGTAGTAGTAGTAGTCGTAGTCGTAGTCGTAGTCGTAGTCGTAGTCGTAGTCGTAGTCGTAGTCGTAGTCGTAGTCGTAGTCGTAGTCGTAGTCGTAGTCGTAGCCGTAGTCGTAGTAGTAGTAGTAGTAGTAGTAGTAGTAGTTGTTGTAGTAGTAGTCGCAGCAGTAGTAGTAGTAGTAGTCGTCGTAGTCGTAGTCGCAGTAGTAGTAGGAGTGGTAGTAGTAGCTTCAGTAGTAGTTGTAGCAGTAGTAGTAGCAGTCGTCGTAGTAGTAGTCGTCGTTGTAGTAGTAGTGCTAATAGTAGTAATAGAAGAGGAAGTAGTAGTAGTAGTAGTAGTAGTAGCAGCAGCAGTAGTAGTAGTAGTAGTAGTAGTAAGTAGTGGTAGTAGTAGTAGTACTACTAATAGCAGTGGTCATGGTAGTACCATTTGAAGTAATAGCAGTCGTAGTAGGGTCACACCCTCTTCATGGCCAGACCCTTCCAATTTTCTGTGGCTGGTATTGTTGTAGCATCTTCGATACAAGTATCTAGAAAAGAACACCGACTATGCTTATTTCACACCTGACCTATGACCGGCACCTTTCGTTCAGTAAGGTTTTCAGAGGATTCTTCCATTGATCTTCCGCGTTCTCCGTTTGGGCCATCCAGAAAGGCGACGGATCCCTTAAGGCGCGCTTCGGGCTCCTGTGGAATCCTGCAGGATCCCTATGGATTGGATCCTGTAGGATCCCCTTGGAATCCTGTAGCATCCCATGGGAGTCCCATCGGATCCGATATATTCCTATAGGGTGCCCATGGAATCCTATAGGATCCGAATCGAATCCTTCAGGGTCCGGATGGAATTTTATATGACCCCGATATCCAATATGATACGGAACCCTTTAGGATCCCTGTGGAACCCTCTAGGATCCTTATAAGTGTTATAGGATCGTCAATTGAATCCTATAGGACCTCTTATGCAATCACTCGCTCAATCTTAAAAGGGCCCATGGGAAACTTTTTAGGATCCCTTTGGGATCTTATAGGATCCCTTACGATCTCTATAGAATCTTATAGGGTGCCTATGGAATCCCATCGGATTCCTTTGCAATTATGTAGGATCCTTATGCAGTTCTATAGGACCCCTTATGTCATCCTACAGGATCCTTATGGAATCCTAAAGGGTGCCCATGACATATTGTAAGATGTTTATGGGATCCTATACGACCTTTATGGTATCCTACAGGATCCATATAGGGTCCTTTTTGGCATACCAAAGGACCCGTAACCTATGGGATGCCTACGGAATCCCATAGGAATCTTGTGGAATTTTATGGGACCCTTTACGCGCTCGTACAAGGATCCTTATGGCATCCTATAGGACCCCGATGGAATCTTAAAGGATCCCCATCGAATTCTGTAAGATCTGTATGGGATCCTATACGATCCTTGCGGTACCTTATAGGATCCATTTTGGGCCCTTTTGGAATACCAAAGGACCCCTAACCTAAGGGATGCCTACGGAATCCCATGGGAACCCTATGGAATATGATGGGATCCTTACGCAATCCTAAAAGGATCTCGATGGAATCCTATAGGGGCCCTATGGAATCCGATGGGATCCCGGTGGCCTTTGTTTATAGGATTGTTTATGAAACCCCATAGGGTCGTGATGGAATCCTACAGGTGTACGATTTGATCCAAAATTGTTTCCAATCAGAGTCCGATTACAATATGATTACATTCGGATTCTATTAGAATTCCGAGCACAATAAGATTACAATCGGATTCCATTCGGAATCCGGTTACGATGCGATACCGAATACAATCTGACTCCGATTACAATCGGACTCCGTATACAATAGAATTCAGATTACAGTAGGATTCTTATTAACTCGGATTCGACCCAAATCCAAACAAAACCCAAACCCAAACCTCGCCAGCCATAAGTCAGGTGTGACCCTAGTAGTAGTAGTCGTAGTAGTCGTAGTAGTAGTAGTAGTAGTAGTAGTAGTAGTAGTAGTAGTCGTAGTAGCAGTAGTAGTAGTACTACTACTACTACTACTACTACTACTACGACTACTCGTAGAATTTGGAGTAGTAGGAGAATTAGGAGTAGCAGTAGTAGTAGCAGCAGGCGTAGCGATAGTAGTAGTAGTAGTAGTAGTAGGAGGAGGAGGAGGAGGAGTAATAGTAGTAGTAGTAGTAGTAGTAGTAGTAGTAGTAGTAGTAGTAGTAGTAGTAGTAGTAGTAGTAGTAGTCGTAGTAGTAGTAGTAGTAGTAGTAGTAGTAGTAGTAGTAGTAGTAGCAGTAGTAGTAGTAGTAGTAGTAGTAGTAGTCGTAGTCGCAGTCGTCGTCGTCGTAGGGTCACACCTTCTTTATGGCCGGGAGCTCCCAGTTTGCTATAGCCGGTACGTTTGCAGGATCTTCGCAGGTATATAGAAAAGCAACCCGAATCAAGCCGATGTCACACCAGACTTATGGCCAGCGCCTTTCTTCCCGTAAGGTTTTCAAAGGATTCTTACGTTGATCCTCCACGTTCGCCATTCCAGCCGTCCAGACGAGCGTCGAATCCCTTAAGACGCCCTTCGATTTCCTGTGGAATCTTGTAGGATCCTTATGGGATCCCATAGGGTCCTTATGGAGTCCCCTATTATCGTGATGGGATCCTACAGGATCCCTACGGCATCCGATAGGATTTCATGTGATTCCTATCACATCCCTATGGGATCCGATGGGATCCTATAGGATCCTTTCGGAGTCTCATAGAATCCCTGTGGAATCCGATAGGATTCCGATGGAATACATGGGATCCCGATGGAATCTTACAAGATCCCGATGGAATCCTAAAAGATCCTTTAGAGGCACCAGGTCCAACTCTCACCTAGACGGGGGTGGGGGCGGCGGAGAGGTGGCGCCAGCCACTGTACACAACATTTTCTACACACATGAGCCCGAAGCCACCACGGGCGTTGGCGATCTGGGGCACTGGCGGCCCAGCTCGAGATGCGGGGGGCCCTGACAGCCCAATTCGAGAGATGCGAGGCCGCTCTACACTGTCCCACCCCACCGCTTGTCTGGCTAATCCGCCTGGCTGTCGGAGGCACTGGGGTCTGGGCGGGCGGGTCACGCTGGGCCTCCAGACGCCGCCTTTGGGCGCACAGGCCAAAAGAAAAACAATGCACAGTAGCTGGCCAACGCATCGAGACTGATCGAACTGATAGCGTAAATCGTCTGAAATCAAACTCACACTCAGGCCTTCAAGGGACGGACGTCCTTCTTCATCAGCATCCTGGCGCCCCGCTCGATCACATCGTACGGGAGCGCGGCACGAGCTGTCACCAGA